TCTTTCCCCACAGGCAGCAAGAGTGTTGTCCGTCTCTGAAGAGGAGAAACCAGCTCTCTGGTGAAATGGGCCTAGACCGATGTTAGGGAAGAAATACAACTCTGAATATGAAGTGACACAGAGCTTTCACATGCCTCACTAGAGACCTGAGTTGCTTGGTTACTCAGGGACTAGTGATCACTCAGAAATGAAAAGATAATAAGAGTATTTGCCTACCTCGGGCTTTGGAGCTTTTTTCCTACCCAGATCTGGTGACTATGCAGGTGTGAATCAAAAGTTTATTTGATAAACAAGGTGGCACTGTTGACTTTTCCTTTTCTAATCACACCCTGCCTTCAGTCCACTGTCCCTCAGCTTACAGAACACACTATCCTGGAAAAGGTATACTCACCCTGTTTGAACTGGGTCTTTAGTTTTCAGGGTTGGCTTACCTCGGAACAAAGCCATAGTCTACCTCTCCCTCTAATCCTTAGAGGAAATTTCCCAATCAACAACAGCTAAATATTTAAGAGGAAAAGGTTAAGCTTACTACAAGGAATAGATGGTTTTAACACCCCCCCCCCAACTTTCTAGTTATAATCACTAATTTTTCTCTTTCATCCCAGTTTGGGAATATCATGCTTCCATCTCACTACTTCCTATCTTCCTCAGAAGATAACTCCAGGTAAGGAAATTGCTCAAGTATCTGATTTTCCTTTTTTGCTTTTTTATTAAAGTTTATTTAACTATTTCTCCTATGAGCAAGAAAAAGAGAGAGACTGAACAGGGTCTTCCGGCTGTGATCTAGCCCCAAACTCAGCCAGCTCTTGATCATGGGCATACATGAGCCTGGATATGAACTTCGAACCCTTCCATGTAGGTCAACCTCAGAGAACGCTGCATTTTACCACTGTACTACCATCGAGCCCCTCAAATGTCCAGTTTTCAAATCAAGCAACCACATACATTTTTCTTCAGTTAATAAGCTTGGTTCAGAAAAAAGTAGATTGAAGACTGTCTCTGGAAAAGTGTTCTGGGAATACATATTCAGTGGTTTGTTTGCTCTAATTGCTTTTGAAATTTACCAGACTCCTATGGTCACTCCACCACTACCACTACCAGCAGGTCAGCTTTGCTGTGACATTTCTCTTTGAATATGAATCCAAGTGCCTGACAAGATTCTAGCCGTGTAATTCGTAGTGAATCACTTAACGGCTGAGTTTCAGTGTCCTTAAAAAAGAGGAGAGTCATCCCTGCCACCTACTCACAGTGATGGCCTCAAATCAGAGAAGACATGTGAAAGCACAGTGGAAACTAGAGTCTGGTGTAGGTGTAAATAATATCACTGTGAAACTCCTTTTCCCATCAAGAAGTTAGCTGTCACCTCATTGTTCAGCATCTAGCACTGAGAAGAATCTTGAACTCCAGTGGCTTACAGACTGATATAGAGAGAACATTTTGTTTTATCTGTTTAAGCTAAAAGCTTAGCTGTGTTCTACCAAGTTACAGACAGGGTACCCCAAAACAGGATCCCAAACCACAGGGAGAGAAAATGCCTTTGGATATCTCTAAGGAGACATTCTTTCTGCCCATGTAGGAACCTGCACAGCAACTTTTCCTTTTTAACTTCTTCCCTTTAATTTTGCCAGAGAGAGGAAAAGAGAGAAGGAAAGTGAGAAACACCACTCCCCCGCTCCAGGGGGAATGGTCATGCTGCAACCTCTTCTCCATTTTTCCCTCTTTTCAGGATTTTGGGCACACACACACATGTGGCAGGCACATTTTCCAATCTGCCAGGGCCAGGAATCAAACTTATGGTTGGCCATGTGGGATCTAGCCACATTTTTTTTTGAGAGGTTTTTGCCATAGGGACTGTGTGCTCACCAGATAGAGAGAGACAGAGAGACGGAAAGTGAGAAATCACCCCCCAGGGGGGATGGCCACGCCACAATCCCTTCTCCTCTAGTCTCCTCTCAGGATCTTAGGGACACACACATACGCACCCGGCATGAGTTTTAAGCCACCGGGTCCAGGACGTGAACTGCGGTTGACTATGTGGGAGTCCAGCGACATAGCCATTACGCTAACTGCTGGTCCTGGGATCCAGACACTTTAACCACCACTCCACTGGGCAGCCCTCTGCCACAACATTTCTAACAGTAATATCAAACTTCAGCTGAGACCCTTCTGTTAATTCTGTTAAGAATTCTTCTGGGGCTGGCAGATGGCATGGTGATTAAGGGCACATATGGCCCACATGGCTGACCATGGTTTGAGTCCCGGACCTGGTAGCTTGCTTTCCCACTTTCACTCACTTTCTCTCTCTCACTTTTGCTTTCGCTCTGTTCCTCTCTGGTCAAATTGAAATGAATAAATAAATAAATACATAAATAAAGAGGACTTTATTTTTTTTTCTTTTTGAGGTTTTTGCCATAGGATACATGCATGTACTCATCAGATACAAAAAGAGTCAGTGAGAGGGAAAATGAGAAATCCCTGGGGGGTTATGGTTACAATGCAATCCTTTCTTCTCTATTCTCCTCCTGGAATTTTGGGCATACATACACATGTTCCAGGTATGATTTTTTCAAGCCACCAGATCCAGGACTCAAACCACAGTTGACCATATGGAAATCCCAGCACTTTAACCACCACCTCATCTACGAGGACTGCTCTTAATTCAGAGTCCAACATGGTACCTGGTCAGGGACTAACTACAATTGCTGTCATCTCTTTCTCCCAAGGCTTTAGTCATTTGTAAATCACTGAACTTCCATGGTTAAAAGTAAGTTCAATATAGTAATTTCCCTCATTGTTGCCTTTACTATCCTGTTGATAACATTTTTTTCTTAAAGCAAGGCATAAACATATCAGATGTTCTGCTTTTATTAGATATAACTTCCAGTAGAACCATCAAACAGCAGCAGGAAAGAAACATTTTTTTTTTTGGAGAGGTTTTTGCTATAAGGCATGTGCACTCACCAGAAAGGCAGAGAGAGATAGAAAGTGAAAAATCACTCCCCCCCAGGGGGAATGGCCACGCCACAGCCCCTTCTCCTCCATTCTCCTCTCAGGATCTTGGGCACGCACACACATGTGCCCAGTGTGAGTTTAAGCCACCGGGTCTGGGACTTGAACCACGGTCGACTACATGGGGGTTTAGCGACATAGCCATTACGCTAACTGCTGGTCACAGGAAAGAAACATCTTAAAGAGAAACAAAACAAAACAAAACAAAAAACAGCTTAATTGGCATCAACACACTTGACAACTGAGTTACTGTGATAGCTCATACATGGTATTTGCTAAGTGAACCAGGAGGTGACCACAGGAGTGCCTCCAAGATATTGACAACTACACATCACTAAAACACCATTGCTGGTTCATTCCTATGGATGATGATATTTGAATATACATATAGCCACTTCCCAGACGACTCTGAATGTTACATATGCACAAAAAGTTATATTAAACCTCAAGCAGGGGAATCAATTCTATCAATCCTGGGTGAAAAAGAATAACTGTTAACCAGAACAGAACTAAGATTCCAGGTCTATTCCAAAACGAAGTCATAAAGTTTAATGCATTTTCAGGGCTAGAGCTTGAAAGCTCAACAGAGATGGGATCTAAGCCAATGCTGGTTAGGTGTAGACGGGGGTGTGTTGCAGGGTGATTGCCACCAGTTCCTATTGGCTTTTGCTACTCACACTTCCCAGCAGACTGGTGCTGAGTGACACAGCCTTAAGGCTCAGAAGTAAAATTAACTTTTTTAAAAAATTTGTATAGTGGGGTATAGACATAATAAATTTCCTAGAATTAGGAAAGGCCTAATTTTTAAAAATTTATTTATTCTGTGAATGAGAAAGAGAGAGACAAAGACAGAGGCATAGCTGTAAGGTCCCATTCGGTAACATTATTCTGAGCACCATCTGGTATCGCTCCTGGCCCAAAAAGGAACCAAGGCCAGACCTTTGCAGAACTGGTCTTGACAGGAGCCAGTTCTCCAGATGCTACTACTGCAAGGTCACACTGCCCAGGGAGAAGCAGACAATAAATTAAAATTAATACTAAGAGGTCTAACTCCCTGCAGATAAATCAAAACCACACCACCAAATGGTTCATGTATGCTTATCCCACTGTGCCTAACTTCCCTGCATATCAGTCATGCATACAGTCTCCCAGAATAGCTTGATTGCCCTATAAAAGAAACTCCCTCCTCCATAGCAGGCGGGCTGAAGAACCTCCAGCTTCAGACACTGGGTGCTCTTTTTCCTCAATAAACTTTCTTTTTTCTCTTGGGATGATGCCACCTGAGTCTTACTCCAGGGCTGTGAAAGGGATCTTGATGCTACAGTGCACTCCCAGTCTCAGCAGGCCTGCATCATGGCCACACACATGTCTGGCATACTCAGAGAGGTCTCTGGACATGAACTGACAACCTTCCATAAGTGTTTCCCTCACAGAGCATCCTGTTTTTCTGTTGTAGCACTACCCACCATCTGCTCCCCAGGAAAGACCTGATTTTATATAAATTTACTTTTCAATGAGGCTGATTCATTAGTGCACAATCAACATAATACAGTTCGTGTAATAACTTCCCAGATTAAAGAACAGACAATCCAAGGGACCAGCAGTTGGTGTAATGGCTATGTCGCTGGACTCCCATGTAGTCAACAGCAGTTTGAGTCCCGGACCTGGTGGCTTAAACTCACACCAGGCATGTGTGTGTGCATGCCCAAGATCCAGAGAGAAGAATGGAGGAGAAGGGATTGCAGCGTGGCCATCCCACCTGGGGGATGTGGTGATTTCTTGCTTTCTGTCTCTCTGTCTCTCTCTGTCTTTCTGGTGAGCGCATGAGCCCGATACCAAAACCTCTTAAAAAAATAAAGAAAGAACAGACAATCCATTCCAATGTTTGGTATGGAAAACAAGGTTTTCTTATTTAAATACCAGATTATAAATATGGCTCCCAATCTTCTTTCCTGTAAGCTCCATCAAAGAATCACTGGGTAATGTGGCCAGGCCATGGTGTAATAGGAATGCAATTGCACCCAATCGGAAATGGGAAGGTCTTGTGCCTGGGGCCTCCCTGTATAAGCTGAGTGAATATGTGTGTTCATGATCAGGGCTGGCTGAAGCTAGAGGTGGATCATAATGTGGGGACCCTATTAAGGGTGCCTCTTTTTCTCTCTCTCCCTCTCTTCTCTAACAGAAAAACTAAATAATCTATATTCTTATATATATGTATATATGTGTGTGTGTGTGTGTGTGTATATATATATATATATATATATCATACCACAATCCCTTCTCCTTCATTCTCCTCTCGGGATCTTGAACATACACGTACACATGCCCAACATGAGTTTTAGGCCACCCCTGGGCCAATGGCATGGTTTATGTCCTAGACCCAGCAACTTGATTTTTTTTTTTTCTGGAGAGGTTCTTGCTATAGGGCACATGTGCTCGCCAGACAGACAGAGAGAGACAGAAAGATAGAAAGTGAGAAA